AGAGGCCACTTGCAAACCTTGGCTTGTGAATCCTTCCTTGAATCTCTCCAACCTCTTGCTTCTGTCATCACATACACTAATACTGCTCACTCGGATCTCGTTTTCCTCTTATAAGGACCCCTGTGATCACAGAGCCCACCCAGAAAATCCAGAATAATCTCCCCATCTCAAGATCTTTAACTTGGCCCTCTGCCATGTGAGGCAATATATTTGCAGTTTCCATGGATTTCCATCTTTGGGGGCCATTATTTAACCTACCATACCCAGGCATCTGCAAAATGGAATAGAAGAAAGGCCACTGGACCAGGAGTAACAAGAACTGGATTCCAATTCCAGCTCTGCCACTCCTTCCCAGTTGGGTTAACCTTGGGAAGGTCTGCTCACCTCTCCAAGCCTCATATTCCTCACTTGTAAACTGGGGATAATAACACCTGGGTTGTAAGGTGTTACTTGAATGTATGAAAAGCTCTTTCTGAGCATAGTAACTAGCACAGAGTGGGCACTCAATGAACATGCTGGTAGGGGGACGTCAATGTGGGAGAGACAGGATGAGTAGTTAGAAGGCCACAACAATGGTGCAGATGAAAGATAATAAAGTGCTCAAGGAGAGGGGCAATGGGAGGAATGGGAAGATAAATGGAGAGGTATACATGATTCCAGATTTACATATTTTGTTGGGCTCAGAATAAAATGAACCTCATTTGCCACAATCACTGTGCTTTAGTGACCAAAAAAAGAGGCTTCTACTTAATCTCAACTCAAGCACCTTTGAAAAACCCAAAGCATTAAAGTATCAGCTTGAAAATCAGAGGTAACAGGATGTGCAAAGGCAGAGACACAAACTGGCAAGAAACGGGGGCAACATATAGTCTCTATGGGTGGTAAGAGACAAGACAAACTCTTGGTGGCTCTCCCACATAAGTCACTGGCGTGTCTGCCGATTTTGAACACCTACCTCGTACAATCTGCCTCGGACAAATAAGTCACCCTCTGTGTATTAACAGTACCTACATTATAGAATTTCTGTGAGTTAAATGAGACTCCATATATATTTAGCATAGTACTCAGCACTTTAAGGCTCTGTAAATGTTATCTGATATTATCATTGCTATAAGAAGGCTCAGATGCCCCAGAGGTCTAGGGCTGTTGCCCCAAAGTACCTCCTACTCCAAGAAGAGACTAAAGCCTCAAATACTTATTCTCCCACCCTGTCTTGCCCTACCGTTTCTTTCAAGGCACACATGCACCTCTCTCTGCAACTACATCATAGGCAGGTAAAAACAATAGTAGCAAAAGCAAACACACAACTATATATAAGCACATATGTATAAGTATGTATGTATATATATGAAATATGTGTGTGTTTGTTTTTGTGTGGTCTGCAAAATGGTGCCTGAGGTGGAATAGAGAGGGAGAATTCTGAGGGTTTTTTCTTTTGAAATTGCATGAATACATTCTCACTGTGAAATATGTATAACAAGTGAGAAGCAGAGGCGTAGCTCAGAGATAGTGCAAGTTTGGTTCTAGACCACCACAATAAGAAAATAGTGATTCACTGAGTCACATGAATATTTTGGTTTCAGTGCACATAAAAGTTCTGTTTACACTATGCTCTTTGAGTTTTGTTTTCCTAAGTGGGCCCTGACTCTATATATTGATGTGTGACTTGATTTACCAATCGACAATGTCTTGTAGGTCTCTCTGTGTCAAGACATACAAACCTATCCCACTCTTTTCATTCTATGGCTAGTATTTCATAGTATATAGATTAACCAGCCTAGTCATTCAGAAGAGATATTAAATTTTCCTGCTGCCTTTGTCCTTAGGCAAGATACAGCTAAACCATCAGAGGCATGGGGCTGGTCTTGGCACCATGAGGAATCAGGCACAACTTGTCTTGGATATCTTCCTAGAGCTCCTCTCCCAGGAGTCCAGCTCCTAAGGTGGGCTCTGTGGGAGCCTTGTGTCTCTTCCACTCCCATTCTAGCTGAGACCTCGGGTCCTGGTCCCATGCCCTCAGCAGGGGATGAAGCACCCTGCTGCATCCTTGGTGACAGCCCACTATGACAGCCTTTAATGCATGTTATGGGATGGCTTGACAGAGAATAAGCCTTCTCATCCTTTACCTTCATTCTGTTCCTCAACTCTGGCTTGTCTGCCTTGTTGATACTCCACTGTGGAGACTCTGACAGCCCTTGGCCCACTCCAGTGGGGCAGGACTGTAAGGACTACCAACTTCCCAGGAAGTAACCACATTCTCTGTGGCCTTGACTTCATGGCGTGGGCACACCCCTAGAACGCACAGCTGTGATGGTGTGGTGGTGTGGAAAAGAAGGTAGAAAATATCAAGGGGGACACAGAGGTGGGAGGGGCTAAGAAAAAAGGGAGGGAGCTGAGGGAGGGAAAACACTCCTGGGAGCCCTCAAAAACAGATCATGTTGGGACTGAAAGACAACTCAATGGGAAGAACAATGCTGTACACCACTGCAAGAATTCCCACTGAGGCCCTCCTGACAGGTGGGCATCCAGTCTCTGCTTCCATACTTCCAGTGACAAGGAGCTCACTATTTTTCAAGGCTGTCTATATTAGTTTGAATCAGCTTGCGGGTTCCTGATAGGACAAGACAGAAAACAGGACAGTGTTGATGGCTAAAAGAAAAGAAATAAATGCGTAGGGTATGAACAAAGGAAGAGAGACTGGGAACAGTATCTGTTGGGGGATGGAGGGAGCAGAGACAATGTAGTAGGCAGAAAAATGCCCCCTCCCCCACCCACCTGAGGATGTGCAAGTCCTAGTCCCCAGAACCTGTGAATATTTTACTTTCCATGGCAGAAGGGACTTTGCAGATGTGATTAAATTAAGGATCTTGAGATGAGGAAGATATCATGGATTTTCCGGGTAGACTCAATGTAATAACAAGGGTCCTCAAAGGAGAGAGGCAGGAGGGTCAGAGTCCAAGGAGAAGATATGACTATGGAAGCAGAGGTTGCAGTGCTGTACCATGAGCCAGGGAACACGGGCAGCCTCTAAAAGCTGAAAAAAGGAAAGGAAATTATTCTCCCCTAAAGGAATGCAGCCCTGCCCTCACCTTGTTTTGAGCCCTGTAAGACTTTCAGACTTTGGACCTCAAGAACTGCAAGATAATGAATTTGTGTTAAGCCACTAAATTTGTGGTAGTTTGTTATAGCAGCAAAAGGAAACTAATACAACCAGGCTCCTGAGAGTGGGAGAAAGGAAAGGACAACTTTACCATGCATACAGAGCACCTGGACATCTTGCTCAAATGACTGCTTCAGTAGGTCTTGGGCAGGGCCTGAGAGTCTGCACTTGTATGAAGCTCTCAGGCCATACCAATGCTCCTGATCAAATACACACTTTGATTAACAAGACACTGGAAGGCACTCAATAAAAATACCTGTGCAAACATTTCACAGTTCATGAACCCTTTTCACATCCATCATACTTCATTTTATCATCCCCACAACCTTGTGATGTAGGCATTATTGTCCCCATGTTACATGTGACAAAACCAAAGCTATATCAGAGAGGTGAAGTCATCTGCTCAAGCAAAATCGCAGATATTGTTGACCTGGCCCCCAGGTGTTCTGACGCCAGAGCCTGTGCTTTGGCCATTGGACACTGGTTCTTGCCCCTGGCTGAGTATTAGAATTACCTGAGGAGCTTTTAAAACTCCAGATGCATCAGTCACACACCAGACTAATGACATCGGAATCTCCTGGCATGTGACCCAAATGTATTTTTGGAATTGTCAAGTGATTCCACTGCACAGTTATGGTTAAGAACCATTTCATTAGAGCAGTGGTTCTCAAAGTGGCGTCCCTGAATCAGCAGTATGAGCATCACTTGGGACTTGTTAGACATGCAGATTCTTGGGCCCTCCAGGGGATTCTGATGTGCTCTCGAGTTTGGGTATGGGCTTGAAAAGGGACATCTTGGACTCAAGGGCTGGGGAAGCAAAAGTACAGTTTAGATCCAGGTATAAAATTAGGCCAAGTGCTGAGCAGCTGAAATCAGCCTCCTAAAGGATGTACCAAGGAATAAGAATTGTTCTCAGCCTCTGAGCCTCTGTAGGAGAGCCATCTGCCAAAGGCCCCTCAGACTGTCAAAATATCCTGGAATATAATATTTGCCTCCAACTCTGCACCTTGCTTTCCACTCCCTCACTTAAAACACTAACCTTTCCCATTTGTGCTTTCACCTGAACTGAGTAAATAAGCTTCTAACCACTCTTCTCCCCACCCCTCTCTTCTTGGTATCCAAGATGAGATTAGCAGGCAAAAGGTTAGTTCTAATGCACTCAGGCAAATGGATATGAGACCAAAAATAGGAGTGACCTACACACACAGCCACCCTCTTCCAGCCCATCTCACCTGCCTCAGCAACACTGTCGCCCTTTGGCCTAATCCTGTTCCTGGAAAATGGAAAATTCCACAACCAAACATAAGAGCAGACACTTTCCAGAACGCAGCCCACCTCTTCATGCCGTCCCAGAGATACCTTGGATCTACAGGCTCAAGAAAGGCAAGGCTGGCAGCCACTATTCATGACCAGAGACATGGAGAAAGTTCTCACCCAACAGACAGCAGCTATAGGCAGGAAATGGGCTCTATTCTAAACTGAATGACAGCCATAAACAGTTCTCTGCTTTGTTCTTCCTGCCTTCTGAATCATCAACTAATTGAGTCCCGAGAGATGAGAAATACAGGAAAAGAATACCCTATTTGGGAGAATTAAAATCTGAGGTGTTGAGAAACAAAAGATAAAAAACAAATGTGTGGCAACTCCCCTCAAAGTACACTGGGCCCTGAAATAGCTTGACTGCCCTCACTTCCCATTTCAACTGATTATGACCATCTTGCTCGATTAAAAGCAGTCATAATAGTTATTAAGAGAATTAGTTATTAAGTCAATGCTTAATTAAGCTGAGATTAGTTGTTAAGCTGGGACTTGAGGCTTAGGAAGAAAATAAGTAGAAATTTAATATCAAGGTATGGAAGAACAAACAGTGTGATTAGAGTCAATTATATCTTCTGCCGGACAGGAGACCTGACGAATGCTCCAGTTCCTCCAAGCAAAGTCCTTGAAGCATCAGTGAAGGGAGAGCCTGGCGAGACAATATGTACCAGGTACTTGGGAGTTGTCTAGTAACTTGGATGTTGAAGGGGGAGGGCCTAGCTCAGCACACAGGGTGAGGTCTGTACTGGGATTACTGCCTTTAGAGAGCTGGAGAGACAAGAGGCTGAGGACTGAAAAAGAGAGGGTGAGCGATTCTTAGAGGCCAGCAGGATCCCAAAAATGGCAAGTGGCCAGCCTGGACTGCCAGTGATAGCCAGAACCCGGCTGCAGCTCGGAACCCATGGCTCCTTCTCTCGCAGCCTGTGAGATTTTGAGCTGGAGAGCCAGCAGAGCAGCCTGGTAAGTGGAAATCATGCCACTTCAAGACATGGAATCATCGTTCCCATTTGGAGTGATCCTTGCTGTCCTGGCCTCCCTCATTATTGCTGCTAATGCACTAGTGGCTGTGGCTGTGTTGTTGTTGATCCACAAGAATGAAGGTGTCGGTCTCTGCTTCACCTTGAATCTGGCTGTGGCTGACACCTTGCTTGGTGTAGCCATCTCTGGCCTAGTCACAGACCACCTCTCCAGCCCAGTTCGGCCCACACAGAAGACCCTGTGCAGTCTTCGGATGGCATTTGTCACTTCCTCCGCAGCTGCCTCTGTCCTCACAGTCATGCTGATTGCCTTCGACAGGTACCTTGCCATCAAGCAGCCGCTCCGCTACTTCCAGATCATGAATGGGCTCGTGGCTGGGGCCTGCATTGCTGGGCTGTGGTTGGTGTCTTACCTCATTGGCTTCCTCCCACTCGGAGTCCCTGTATTCCAGCAGACCACCTATCAGGGGCCCTGCAGCTTCTTTGCTGTGTTTCACCCACACTTTGTGCTGACCCTCTCCTGCGCTGGCTTCTTCCCAGCCCTGCTCCTCTTTGTCTTCTTCTACTGTGACATGCTCAAGATTGCCTCTGTGCACAGCCAGCAGATCCGAAAGATGGAACATGCAGGAGCCATGGCTGGAGCCTACCGATCCCCACGGACTCCCAGCGACTTTAAGGCTATTCGCACCGTGGCTGTTCTCATTGGGAGCTTCACTCTATCCTGGACCCCATTCCTTATCGCTGGTATTGTACAGGGGGCCTGTGAGAAATGCCACCTCTACCTAGTGCTGGAACGGTACCTGTGGCTGCTTGGTGTGAGCAACTCCCTGCTCAACCCGCTCATCTATGCCTACTGGCAGAAGGAGGTACGACAGCAGCTCCACCACATAGCCCTGAGAGTGAAGAAGGGGCTCGCCTCATTCTTCCTCCTTTTCTCAGCCAGGGGTGGTGGCCCAGAGAGGCCCAGGAAAAGTTCCTGCCACATCGACACTGTCTCCCAGTCACAGCTTGATGGCTAAGACGGTAAGGGCGGAGAAGTTTCAAAGTGCCTTCTTCCTTCCCTCGCTGGGTCCCGACTAGATCATGTACAGCTAGGAGAATGAGGCAACTGACCACTCTCCACACCCCCAGGCTCTAGGCTGAGAGGTAACTGAGCAGGGTGCTGACTTTCTTCTGTAATCAGCATTGGCAAATTTCCATGCCTCTCTGTCCTGCTTTTGCAATAAGTCTGTTTCTCCTGTATAGATATACTTTCTTAAAGTGAGAAATGTACTACTAAAAATAATCTTAAAAATCAAATCCTAGTTTTTGAATACACTTCAGCAGCACTGTGGAATAGAAATATATATAATACAAGCCACATATATAATTTTAAATGTTTTAGTAGCCATGTTAAAAAAGTAAAAAAGAAAAATACATATTAACCTTGTACCCAGTATATCAAAAACATTATTTCAACATACAATCAATATAAAAAAATTATTACACTATATTTTTATCTTTGAAGTCTGGTGTGTATTTTACCCTTACAAAACATCTCAGTTCAAACTAAGCTATACTTCATATGCTCAATAGCCCATATGTGGCTACTGGCTACCATAATGGACAGCACAACACTGCAGAAATGAAATTCTATTCTTTTTAACTATTTACTATAGTGATTGCTTTGGTCAAGTGAGGAGTTCCGCCCTCCCTATTGTAAATCAGACATTTTCTGTAGTGAGTTTACATAAAATGTAGGAACCCAAATGAAATTCTAAAGCTTGTCTTTCCCCAGACTTCATGGTGTTCAAAAGAGTATTTCTTTGGGAAATAGCCTATCTTGTGATTATTTCTGCTATAACCCCTTCCCATCCACCACCTTTCTAACTGCAGTGCTTCTTCCCCTCAGTTGGCCTCTATTGTCACATATAGCTACCTGCTGGTGACAATGTTCAACTTCAAATTCAGAGACACTGGAAGAGAAGGGGTTAGGGACCCAGAGAGGCACTACCAAGCTGTCCACACTAGACCCACTTTGATCTTCAGAAGTTGACCTTCTTCCACTAACTCCCAATTTGCATTTTCCTAAGAAATTTAGTGGCATAAGAGGATGCCTCCAAAATGGCCCAAGAGAGCAGCCAAGGAGCAGGTGCCTCATCCTCCTTTCTGTGGGTACAGGAAAAGACTGTTGGCAGCTGGGAATTATACGTGTGTTCCTCCTGGGCAACCCTGGCAGCAGCAATTCAAAAACAGAATGGGAAAGAAACCCAGGAAACACTCAGCCTTCCTGAGCGTCCCTGTAACCCTTCCCTCAACCTCCTGGTCTCCACAATCCATTCCTAGAAAGGTTGTCTCTTAAGGCCCTAAACTAGATTATCTTCCCAAAAAGCTTCTGAGTGGGTAACAAAGGGGAGGGGGGGTAAGAAGAAACCAAAACAGTATGGATTAATTTGTAAGGGATTTTGTGCCAAACAACCATGGAAGGTTAACCCCTCAAAATCTTTAAATTGATGGCCTGAGGATGCATCTGAGTTCACTGTATAATGGCTAATTCCAAAGAGACCTGTAAATTTTTCATTCAAATCTCAAACTATAATGTTCAGAACCTGGGTGTAATCTAGCCATCCTCTTCTCAGAAGGATGCCTCCACTCCATGAGGCTTTGCACTTGGGTTTTAATTCTCCTTCAGTCTTAGATTAATTCCCATCTCACTTTCCTCAGTTGTTCAAAGGTTAATGACCATCCCTTTTCCATTTCTATGCCCTTAAAAATTCCTCTCCCTATCATCACCCTCTATCTTCAGCACAAATAGCCTGTTTCTCACTATCTATTCTAATACGCATCAACGTCTTTTGGTAGATGTTTTTGCAGTTGTTCTGCTTACTACTCTGGCCCAGAAGAGGACTGTGCTTACCCTCCTTATCGCAGGCTTTCTGTTCCTACACCTGAAGAACTTTTTGGCTCTCGAGTGGATGATGGAACCCAATATGCCTTGAAGTGCTAAACAGCCAGGAAGTATACCATTTATGCCAGCAATAAGGCACACTTTTGGATGGGGTGATGAGTTACTGGGAACTAGGTAAAACACAAACAGTACCTGGGTTTTTGGACAAAATTGGAAACAGGCTCAATTCCATGCCCTCCTTATTGGTGGTTCAAAGCTTAATTTCCTGGCCTTGCTGCAAAGGACTGATCTTGTCAAGGTAACACAAGCAAAGTAGAATAGAAATTAGTTACAGGAGAAAGGCAGGAGCTGAGGGGAAGATAGGTGATTGTTGTTATTAGGTTCAGTCTAAGAAACTGTGCTGTCCCTGGAGGGCAGTGTGTGCAGTGGAAAAATCATGGGCTTTGACGTCCAACAGACCAGTGTTCAAAGTATGATTCAGCTGTTTAAATTGTCAAAGCTACAGCTTCCTCAATTGCAAAACTGGGGTAATTATGTCTACCTTACATGGTTATAGTGAGGATTAACTCAGATAATGTATGTGAAAGTGTCTAGTAAACCGCAGCACATTGTTAGTGCTCAGAAAATATTTTCTTCCTTAAAAACCCTGAAGAATAAAACATCCAGCTGACCGATTTAAGGCCGTCTGTCATATCTGTAGATATTAGGACCTCCAGGACAAGGACAATTGGGCTCCAAACTATGAATTCTTTTGAATAAGGTTTTTGAAAACGAGTGATGAGAGGTAACTTGGATTGAAAAAGATAAGCAGTAAATCTAATAATACCTTAGCAGGATTAAGAGAAAGCAGATACAAACAAGGCACTGTTATCCTACACTTGGGTTTAGGAGTAACCACAATAAAGAACACTGTGTTTAACTGGCTACCACATGCAGAGATAGAGAAGGCTATGCAAAAGTCTAATGGTTTTCTTCGATGTAGGCACACAGGTAAGGAAATGCCCTGCAGAGGGAACATTTAGGCATCATTCACACAGTATCCAATGCTGTCTTCTGAGGGACTTGCAAAGGAGCCAGATCCTTATCAACAATTTGATCAAAATAGCCTAAAGATATTGGACACTGTAGGACAGAATGTAGGTCGCTCGGTCCCACTTACAATTTCAATGAACAGCTAATTGTGAGTTTGTTGTGAAAATTGTGACAAGACTAAGTTTTATACTGATTCCTGGGGTAGCTAACATTATGTGTAGCACACCCATTCCAGAGGACTACTCTTAAGGACATAAGAACACACAGGCCTCTGCACAGGAGCATTTTGAGTGTTCTCACAAGTGTCTTACAACACAGGTTGCCCTAGTCTACCAACACTTTCTTGTTTGTCCACATGGCCAATTAGCCCATCTCTGAGAGGTGGCCAACTAGAGTTAGCCTTGGATATCTTCTCCCTATGTGGGGAAGTGTTCAGTGGTTCAAATGGGGAATGAACTCATGACTTTAATTTCATTCTTACTTGCTCAGTCACTGGCCAAACTGAATGGAGACCAGTGAAAACAGCAGGCATGAGAGTTACTTCAAAGTTCCACACAGAACAAGAGGAAACATGGCGTCCATACCTGGGCAACAAGAGCAGCAGCAAACCCAAGGCCAGACCACAACTCCTCAGCTACTGTCAGCCATTCACTTATTTTGTGACTTGTTCAGTACCTTCCATGTCATCCTTCAAACCATCGACTCATCTGGAATCTAATCCTTTTAATTAACAAATCTTCATTTGTTATTTCTACAGTCATCTAAACACAATGATGGTACCTATAAGTGTCAACTGTCATTCATTCATTACATACTTCTGTCTATCTACCTACCCCTCAAACATTCATTAAGAGCTAGATAATGTATGTGAAAATGTCTAGTAAACCACAGAACACTGTTAGTCTCAGAAAATATTTTCTTCCTTAAAAACCCTGAGGTTTTGCTGCATCCCATGTAGATATATATAGATATAGATAGATACAGATATATATAGATATATAGATACAGATATATATATAGATATATAGATATGATGTTCATTATTCTTTTTTGATTATAAAAGCAATTTTGTTCACTTTAGAAGTTTCTGAAAATACAGCAAAATCATAAAGGTACCCACAATTGTACCATCCAGAAATGATGTTATTCTCCTTCATCTGTTTTCTTCACTTAACATTACGTTGTGCACACTTTCCTGTGTTAAGTTTTCCTTAACAACATGACCTGTAATGGTTGCATGTTTCTTAAACATATGAGCATATTTAGCCATTTCCAATAATTGTACATTCATGTTATTCCAAATTTCTCACTGTTACAATACCACTACATATACCACTGTGTATAAAGCTTTGACATATCTGTTTAATTCCTTAGGATAAATTCTCTAAAGCAATATTACTAGGTCAAGGAGCATTAAACATTTATATAAGAATTTTGCTTCATACTTTTGCTAGCATTTCTTAAGCTGTAATGTCTCCCTAGGGTATTTGCTAGGAGAAGTCAAAAGTGAGCCATAAATGAACAGACCACACTGATGAATATCTCAAAGAAATTAAAGTGTATGGCTTTCTAAAAGCATAAGCCATACTGAGGGGATTAACTGGTGGTTTTTTTAACAAAAGTAAACCTATTGATAAGTCCCACTGTTAGAGTTAATTTGCAAATTTAGAAATCTGGACTAATGGGACACAGCAGTTTAACAACCCTCCCAGTACAACTGCATCACCAATACTGCACTGCATGATATCCAGAACTGATTTCAGTGTGTTTTCACTCTTAACATTTTCTGAGGTGTGTACTTTGTGTAATACCATAAAATGCCAAGTAGGCATGAGATGAAAACAATCAGATGGAGCCAGGTCTTGCTGCAGTTGAAACCTTGAAGCCATATACTCTCACAGCTTCGCCGCCGAAAGGGAAAGATGTGCTCCACCTATTGGGTAAAGCACAGCAGGGTAAAGTGCATGGGAGCTTAATATGCTACTACCCAGCCATATGTTCACTGGATTTACAAGCTGTTGAGACCATAATCAGCCCCTGGGCTCAAAGAGCCCTCTCTCATGAAGAGCCCTAGAAACAACCCATGCAGCTGCCTACAGATCTCAGAGTCTTGTTTTAATGCACAAAGCAGGTCCTGTTTCTTTCAAAACACCTTCTACATAATGGAGTGGGCAGGATTCATTTGCTCAAGAGCACTGAAGGGTCTAAAATCATAAGACCAAGAGCCTAAAGGAGGTCTCTCTGTGTTTAGGTTCATTTTTACTTGGTACATTACCCAAAAATCCCACCATTAAATCATATATACCCTTGACTATAAGAAATCCCTGTCACTTCACGTTTTGTCTCAATTGTGTTGACATTAAGGCACTAAAAAGCTGATAAAACACGCTGAGATAACAGTTGTTGGCCCAGTAAAATGCCAGTCTTGAAAAACATTGTGCTTGTACTATTCATAATATTCTTGCAGATTTGCTGACTGAGCCTTTCAACAAATACAAAAGCACTTCCTATAGAAAGTTAACTGCTGTCATGTCATCTCAGAGGTGGTTTAAAAAGTGAGAAAACTAAACCAAGAAACTACAGCTGAATAGCTTCGAGGTTATTTAAAATGTGCAAAATAGATCCATAATCCAAAATTCCAACTACCACTTTCAGATTACCAGCCCCTTAGTATTATGCAACAGTGTGGGGTTCTTTTTTATTTTCTAAAATGGGAGAGAGAAGGATGCACAAAGAGTTTCTACGGTGAGTTAGGCACAGGCCAAAACAGTACTGAGTGCTGACGCTGAGACACTGAATAGAGAAGAAATTTCCTTTAGTGAAACCTCAGGAATTAAGATTGATGCAGAGTGGCCATTACGAGAAGATAGGAAGATAATTGTTTTTTTAAAAAGCTTATATGCAATGTCCTGAGTGGGCTAGGCTAACAAAAATATTATCCCTTAAGTGATATGCTTTAGTGAATAAAAAAAGAGGATTTAATCATGTTCTCAGGAGTTTAGTCATTCCTCCAATAAGTTTTTATAAGCCTAACATACTTCTTTGCACTGGAGGAGAGTGGGTGAGAAGTCTAGCCCTATGTCCAAATTATTCAATTTCAATCTAGTGGCATCTGTATCAATAATTCCAAGTTCTTCAATAAATAGCATAAAATACAAGAACAAGTTCCTGTGTGTGTGAATTGTGTTCACTTAGACTGGAGGAGCAAGTTGGGGGCCGGTGATGAAGACGGTTGTGGAGAAGAAAAGCCAGTGAAGCAGTAGAAAGAGAGTAAGAGAAAAACGCTGTATTTGAAGTCACTGGTCTGCAGGAAAACAATTTAAATTCAGTATTATAGTTAAGTGTCAAAGGGTGACCAACCATAGCTATTGACCTTCTTTCTCCCAGGGCTCTGTAAACATAGGGGAATTAATAAAATCAATATTCCTTACTGCACATCTGCCATAAACTTTAAGTGACCCTGGACAAGCCTGAGTCAGTACACTTGTAGCATAGTAACTATAAGCATGGGCTCATCAGCCAGACTGCCTGGGTTAGAATCCTGGCTCTGCCATTTTCTAGGAACAAACTCATTTACTTTTCTGTGCCTCAGTTTCTCGTGTGAAAAGATAATAGTCCCTATCTCATAGGGTGGTTCAAAGGATATAAACTGAGTTTTATAAACAGTATACTTAGAATATCTGGCACATAATAAAAGCCATGCATGTGTTAGCTATTATTACTGAGTTGTTTCATGCTTAGCCTTTTAAATAAAAAGGAAAAGAGGACTGAAAATTTTTTCATTTTACAGCCTATAGATTTTTATTGTCATTTTATCCTTCCAAACCTGGGGTTTCCTGATCAGGAATGTCAGCTGTTTGATCTTCAGGTTTCTGGAAGATGATGGATTAGCTCTTTCCAAAGGAAAATGTCCATGTGATCATCTGGAGTTAATATACATCAACCTGTACTTTGTTACCAAGGAGCTTCATTGAAATCCCTCACTAACCATCCTATAACCAAGCTAACCCACATGCTGGTTTTTTTTAAACAGCTTTATTGAGATATAATTTACATACCATGAAGATTGCCTGTTTAAAAAGGATAAATTCAGTATTTCTTAGTATATTTACAAAGATGTCACTATAATCTGATTTTAGAAAATTTTCATTCCCAAGTGAAACCTTATACCCATTAGTGTCCCTCCCCGAATTCCCCCAGCCCTAGGCAACCATTAAGTTACTTTATGTTTTTATGGATTTGCCTATTCTAGATGTTTCATTTAACTGGGATCATAAATATGTGGCTTTTTAGGTCTGACTTCTTGCATTCAGCATAATGTTTTCAATGTTCATCCATACTGCAAATGGCAAGATTTCCTTCTTTTTTACGGCTAAATAATATTCTGTTGTACAGCTATACCACAATTTGTTTATCCATTCAACAGTTGATAGGCATCTGGGTTGCTTCTACCTTTCGTTACTGTGAATAATGCTGCAGTGAACACTGGTGTATAAGTATCTGAGTCCGTCTTCAATTCTTTTGGGTATACCTGTACGAGTAGAATTACTGGGTCACATGGTAATTCTGTATTTAGCTTTTGAGGAACTGCCCAACTGCCTTCCAAAGGAGCTGCGCCAGTTGATGACCTCTCCAGCAACGTACAAGAATTCCAATTTCTTCGCATCCTCATCAACTCTTGTTATTGTCTGTCTTTTTGATATGCTAGGGCTTTTATCTGGGAAAATAACTATTTCTCTTCCAAATCAGTGGTGCCTGTTCATCTTTGTGTTACTCTCTCATTCTGAGCATTTTCAAAGAAATTAATAGGCTTTATTTTTTAGAAGAGTTAGGTTTACAGATCAATTAAACAGATAGGTACACAGTTTGCCTTGTTTTGGTTTTTTACAAACAAGATTTCAACCAAGGTCCTCAATCCCTTTAAAGATTCTTTCCTTATACTCATTGATTCTGAAAGGCTTCCATTCTCAATCTACCTTCAAGACACTGGTTGATCTATTTCATATCTAATGTGTCCTGAAAAGTTATTTTTCAATCAAAAAATGCAATTGAAATAGGCAACAGGGAGCTAGATGGTACTTAAGGGAATTCTAAGGTGAGTATTGTATTTTTGTGAAACACGGAATTCTTCATACATGTGAAATAATCCCATTCAAATGTTACGTGGCAAGAGGTAGACCCTAACTTACTCCCTAAGGTACCCTTATTGTAGCCTACTTTACTAGAAGTGGGTTAACCCTTAGTGTTCAATCAAAACATTATTATATTCATTATATCAGTTGCCTGAGGGGATACTTTATGACCAAAAATAGGATAGGATACTACACCAAAAATAAAAACAGCAAGTCAAATTCTTTGATGTGAACTATCTGCCCATGATTATGGCAACTATAAAGGCAGCAATCCTTAAAGCTTTGGTAATTTGGCTAAAGATCTCTTCAGGTTCAAACTCTTTTTCTGCAAATTTTATATTGAAAATAATTGACAATCCCTGTCCCTTTTACTCCTTTTCTATCACAATATTAAGTTTTTTAGACAGCTTCAGGTGGGTATTTAGTCATCACCAGTGTCCTATGTGACTTTCTCCCCAATGTTTTTATGTTGGACTTCCCCAGGCTCAGTTCTGGGACTTCTCCTGTCCACTGACACAATCCCTTGGTGATATCATTCAGTATCATGGCTTTAAGCACCATCTACATGCTGATGATTTCCAGATGTACACCCCCAGCCCATAACACTCTCCTGGTCCCCATACTTCTATGTCTCACTGCCTACTCCACAACTCTATTGTGAAGTCTATAGGCACTTCAAACTTAACATGTACAAAACATAATTATTGCTTCTCCTCCACCCCTGCCAAAAAACCCTGTACCTTCCAGTATTCTCCATCTCTAGGCAATACTGTTCTGCTAGTGACTTGGGCCTTAGAATAGTCCTTACCTCCGCTCTCGTCCTCTTACAACCCATATCCCCTAGCAAGTCCTTATTTGCTCTTCTCCAAAATACAGGAATTTCAACTGCTTCTTACAGCCCCACTGCTACTTCCCACATCTAAGCTACCATCACTTCTTGCTTGAATCATCACACTATACTCTATGCACAGTCTCACCTCAGGACCTGTACGTGCATTTCCTTTAACCTTAGATTAGGTCCCTCTTTCACCTCTTACAGACTTCAGTCAAATTTGGCTTTCTCAGTGTGCAACCCTGCCCCAATATTCCCCTGCTTTATTTTTCTATAAAGTATTTATCACCACCCAATACACTATATATTTCACTCTTTCATCTTTTTATTATGTATCACTTCTTAGACTATAAGATTCATAAGGCAAGGGTGTTTCTTGAAAGAATGATCTTCCCCAAGCACCTCCATTTCCTCTTAAACCTATTCTTTATATAGTATCTCATCATTATCTAATAATACAAAATTTAATTTCATTCCACTTAAATCCCAGAGTATTTGCTGAATCTTTGCTGTTTTAGGCATTTTATCAGAATTTTTTGGACACAGATCAACTTATTTAATATTTACCAAGCATACATAACTGCTAGGCACTGAGAACACAGCAGTAAACAAAATAGACAGAATCCCTATTTTTATGGAGCTTACAGACTGATGGGGTATAGATATTAATCAAATAATCATACAATAGTAATATGGTTATAAATTCATGATGTAAGAAATTATGAAGAAAGTTTACATTGATAGAGAGGAAATCAAAGGATGGTTTCTCTTGAAGGAACATTTAAACTAAAGTGAATGAAAGCCAATTTCCAATACATGTAAACCCTTTAAGAAACTACCTTTCAGTCTATACCATTGGGAAAAATAGCTTCCATTTTGCTCATCTATTTGGGAATGCATATCTTATTGGCACAATCATCTTAAAAATAAATATAAACAATGAGCTACCACTACACACCTATAAGAATGGCCAAAGTCCAAAAGACTGACAAGAGAAGCTGACAAGGATGTGGAGAAATGGGTGGTGGGAATTCAGTGCTGGAGTAAATGCAAAATGGTAGAGTCACTTTGGAAGACAGTTTGGCAATTTCTTAAAAAATTTAAACATATTCTTACCACACGATTCAACAACTACACTCCTTAGTATTTACCCAAATGAGCTGAAAACTGTGTCCACACCAAAACTTGCACGTGAAAGTTTATAGCAGCTTCATTCATAATTGTCAAAAACTGGAAGCAACCAAGACATCCTTCTGTAGGTGAATGGAAAAATATCCTGTGGTATATCCAAAAAAGAAAATGAACTATAAAGCCATCAAAAGACATGGAGGAACTAAGTACATATTACTAAGTGAAAGCAGCCAGTCTGAAAAGAGTACATACTGTATAATTCCAATTATATGATACTCAGGAAAAGGCAAAACTGCAGAGACAGCAAAAGGATCAGTGGTTGCCAGGGGTTCAGGGAGAGGGAAGAATGAATAGGGGCTGCACAGAGGATTTTTAGGGCTGTGAAACTATTCTGTATGGTACTATAATGGTGGATACATGTCATTATGCATACATTTGTCCAAATCCATAGAATGTATAACACCAAGAATAAATCCTAATGTAAATGATGGATTTGGGGTGATAATGATGTACCATTGTATATTCACTGATTATAACAAATGAATTACCCTGGTGAGGAATTGTGATGGGGTTAGGGGGAAGCTCTGTGTATGTATTGGTAGGGGGTAAATGGGAAATCTCTGTATCTTCCTCACAATTTTGCTCTAACCTAAAACTTTTAAAATTTAACATCAAAATTAATTTGTAAAAGGTAGTACTTCAGACTGACACCTAAGAAGGCATTGTGGGGTAGTGGAGTGAGACAGAAGAAATTCAATTAAATACATTCTCAAATTTACCACAACCTGGCTGTGACTTAGGATAATTTTTTTTTTTTTTTAGTTTTTTTGGACCCCATGTCTACCTGCACATAAAGGGGAGTAGTTCTCAGTAGGTTTTAACATTTTGGAGGCTACTTCCTTCCAGGTTGTCCTCCACAGTAGGTTTTCTTCCTAAAAAAATAAAAGCTGGGATTTGAAGCTTCTTTTGCCTGCCCCTCCCTCCAGGATAAAAGTCAAATTCTTTCTTACGGCATATAGGGACCCTTCATAATTCGACCCTTTGGGCCACACTATTCTTACTTCCTTTCATTCTAACCTGCATTTCTTTACAAGTGCTTCTTAAAAGTGTAGCCTGAGGACCACCCGTGTCAAGTGCCTGTAACAAAAGCAAATGCCTCTGCCCCAGATAAGTTTAGGAACTCAGGCAATGGGATACAAGAATCTATATTTTCACAAGATCTCCAGCAATTCTGCCTCACGTGGCACTGAAACCCACCACCCTGAAATTTGGCCACGCTGATCTTTCCCCCATCCCCCTACCTGTAACAAAAGCAAATGCCTTTGCCCCAGATAAGGTTAGGATCTCAGGCGATGGGATACAAAAACCTGTATCTTCACAAGATCTCTAGTAACTCTGCCTCACGTGGCATTGAAACTTACTACCCTGAATTTTAGGCACACTGAACTTTCCCCCTTCCCCCTACCTGGAATGTCCTTCCCTGACTTATCTATAGGTAACATTTTCTTTTTAGCAAAAATGTCACCTCCACTATGAAACTTTTGGCTAATCCCCTAGGTAACTGCCTGTCCCCTCCTCTATGCTTCCACAACAGTTCATTTCTCCCACAGTACTTAGCACCTACTATAATTACATACTTACATGTCTGTTTCTCCTACTATAATTTGAGCTTCAAAAACAGAGACTATGTCATAACTTAGTTTTATATTCCCAGCATCTAGGACATAGGAGACACACAATAAATCTTTGTTGAACAAATAAATAATAGATAAAGATGAAGAACTAAGCTATTCATTCCACAAATATTTGAGTGCCTACGATGGGCAGGCACTGTTCCAATATAGGAAGTAGTCAGATAAGACAATTAGAACCCTGGAGACGGGATTCTATTTTATGCCTCTTTTAGCATTTTATCTGTAGAAACTTCCAAATGAGCCACTTGTTTTATTCATTCACAAGAAAGAACCACTTGCCTGATGTTTACAAGAGAGTGGCATTATGACAACTAATGGTAGTGGGAAAGCCCAATGCATTTAGTCTATTCCCATACATGTGTTTTAAGAGTCCAGACTCAATTTCAGTCACCTTCTCTTTACCACTTTCTGGAGAATGTAACTTAAAGAGCTGGCAAAGGAAAAAACAGTAAATGAAGATAAAGCCAAAGTGATTTTGCCATAAATACTTTAGTGAGAACCGAGGTCTGTAACATGCATAGAAGTAACTTCCCTGGCCTATGCCTTTCACTCTAGCCCACGTCTGGAGCTAACCAACTACACTTAACCCACATTTGAAAAGAAGGCCATTTTGAGTGTCATCCATCAGTATCCATCTTCACAGAAGATACCAATCAGGGGCCAGAGTCTCAAAGTTAATACTTCCTCTCAGGGAAAATTTAATATGGTAACACATACACATGAACAATTTTGAGCCATCCTACTGTTCTTCCATCAGGAGGCCCTTAGGAGACCAATGGTTCAGTGAACACTTACAACTTTGTCAAAATACATTAGAACACAGAAAAAGGAAACAGAGTAGAAAGGTTGGCAGGGCTTGGCTCACATACGATTCAGTCCTTAGATTTGAAGCCTCTTGAGCTGCTCGTATGTAATAAAAAACTGAAGAGTAAGTCATGGAAGAACACTGGGTTAATGATGAAAGCTTACTGCATTCTCTTAAACTGAGGAACTTAGTCTGTGCTACTCTAAGTTGCATTTGCTTGTAAATGTTTTTGAAAATACCTAGCAAATCAAGCATGTATTGAGTGCCCACCATGTACCTGCTATGATCATTGACATTTAGCAATATAAACAGATTAAAACAAATATATATGTGTGTGTGTGTATACATATACATATATATATATAGAGAGAGAGAGAGAGATAAAATATATAAACAGACATTAGTGTTACAAGCTTGTTAGATACATAGTCTTCAGGGGCAAACAGGCCACACACATACACACACACACACAAACATAAATGACAGCACATAATTCAGTGCCAGAGTAATTGTTTACACACATTATGTTATTATCAGAGCAACCCCAAGGAGAGAGGGATACTACCCCCCTCAACCTATAGACTAGACTCCACAAGGGTAGGGAATTACTTTTCATACCTGCAGTTCTCACCACTTTACACAAAACACCACACAAAGTATCCAATTTATGGCTCTGCACATAGGAGGCACTAAAACACAGCTAAAGGAAGGAGATTCACCCACGAGGAAAAGCCCAATGTGGCTGTGGATTCCTCTGCCCTGTGAGTGTTTTCTGTTGTATTATTATTTCTTCAGCTATTCTGGTCCTATAGTTAGGGATAGGAAATATGGACCACCTCAGCATGAACTTTCTTGTGGGCATCTCCCAGGAGGGTTCTGAAAAACTTCATAGACCCTTTCAGATTTGTTTGTTGGTTGGTATTCTGTTTTGTTTTAAAGAGGAAAAGAAGGAACATATCTTTTCTAGTAGCATATCTTTTCTAGTCCCTTCAGTTTGTATTAAACTCCAACAGAAAGCATTTCTGTACTTAGTTCCATCTTCAATGGTCACCATTAGAATGCTTGAGCTTTTCACTTGCCTAAAGGTTTCAATAATCAAATTTCCTTCCCATAGCCTAAAATTACCTGGGAACCTGAAGAACTTGCTTTATTTTCATGTTCTAAAAGGATACAATGATGTTCCATGGTCCAAGTCGAAGCCAGTTTGGCCAAAATCCTTTATAGAGTGCAAAAAAGCCCTCATGTTTCCACATCTGAGGGAAGGATATAATCAAAAAAGAATGAATTCCCCTTACTATTTACATCTCACAATTACTTTTATTTTAGTACTCACCTTCTATGCCCCTCCCCAACAACTTATGGCCCCATGAATGGTCTTTTTTTCTAAAGACACTGATTTTGAGTTATTATGTAATCTAAATCCACCCATTCGCTCATTTGATAAACATTTCCTAAGCACCTGTCATATGCAAGGTACTCTTCTTAATGCTGGGATAACAGTAATAATAGTAAACAAGAGAGAGAAAATATCTGTAGTAGCCAGCCTCCAAGATGGTCACCCATAAAAGCTACCTCCAGTTACTCACACCCTTGTGTTGCCCCTCCCACGACATATCAGGATTGGCCTGTGTCACCAATAGAATATGGCAATAGTGAATGTACATCACCTCTAATGGTATGTTATAGAAGACATTTTATATATAATAAGGCCTCTCCCTTGTTCTGTCTTGGATCATTCACTCTGGAGGAAGCCAGCTGCCATGTCATAAAGAGAGGCACACAATGGGTGTCACGATATGGTTACCAAAGCCAAAAACTGGGAAGTTATCTTTGACACCTCCTTTTTCCCACACTTCTCCATACTCAGTCAACCAAATCCTGTAGACTTATCAATTATTCTCAACTCTATCCCACCCTCTATATCCTCACTACCATGCTCAAATTCAGGCCCTCATTGCCTCCTGCTTAGTTTACTCTAAGAGTCTTCTAAGATGAAGCCAGAGTCATCTATTTAATATGCAAATCTCACCTGATTAAAATCTTTCAACATCTTCCCATTCAAGTAAAAAAACAAAATCTAAGCACCTCAGCATAGCGCTCAATATACTTTATAACCTAATTAACCCTTAGCTGCCAATATGAGAAAGGTACCTTAGTGTAGAGATTAAGAATGTTGGTTTGAGGCCAAATCGTCTGAGTTGAAATCTGAGCTCTCCCACTTAACTAACTGTGAAACCTTCGGCAGGTCAGCTAAGCTCTCAGTGCTTCAGTATCTACCTCATAGAATAATGATGAGGATTAAATGAATGAAAACATTTAAGTCTCATTAGGACAGTTCCTGATACACAGCAAAGCACTCAACAGATGTGAGCTATTATTCTTCAAGATGCCACCATCTACAGGGAGAGTATTCCAAACTTCAGAAATTGAACTAAAATTTCCTCCCATAGATTCTTGAGTTTATCACTTATCAAGCTGTGTTTGCACAGCTTCAGTACACTATAATTTGTCTGTACCTACTAAAATGGTGCCTGTTAGATAATAAATAGTTCTTAAACTAAAATGGTAACAGCAAAGAAAATATACAGTAATATCGTATTTTAGCCCCAAATTTGTTTTTTGTAGAAGTATTATCATCGGTGATTATAAAAAACATTTGTGATATTCAGCTCCCTACAAACATAACATAGCAAAAAGTGATCAAAGTCCAAGTGTGAACAATAGTATAATGCTGACCTAAAATGAGTACCAGATTTTCTATTTCAGGGTCTCTATCTTGTCTGAAGCAGGCAAATGTGGGATACGTTAAGTTCTTTCTATCAATAATTCTACATGATGCTATTGATAACAGTATCTACAGTCTCAAGCATTCAAATTAGAAAAGTAAGATTAAAGACAACTATGCATGTGCAGATTGCCAATGAGGTAGCTTTTCTACCTGGGAATTACTTTGAAAAGCTACTACAAATATACATAATGATTCTTCCATCTTCAGAATGATATGCAACAACTAAGAATAAGAACTGAAAGAAGAGCTGCGACATCAAAGAAAATAAAAAATGCAAACCAAGCCCACAGTATGCTTACCTTTAAAATACCATCCAAAGTGCCCTTGTAGAGGTCCACATGTCCAACAATTGCCCTCTGGTTCATCATGCGAGTTCGAACTACATCAACTGGATTGGAAGCCAAAGCCCCAGCCAAGCCACAAGTAAAGCTGGAACTAAAGATGAAAACTTTAAAAGATAGACTGCCCCACTTCCACCTCTGCCCAGTAAACACAAATTAGGCCAAACACAAATGTAGAGTGAGTCAGACCCATCAGAGAATACCTGGCACTTGCCCTTTCATTGCAATCTAAAGAGAAACGAAATCTTTTCTAAAGGGACAACGTTCAAAAGTTGTTCCCTTCACTTTTCAATCTGAAACTCAACCGTCTTTTTTTTAAGTCTAGCAAGATCTCTAAACAGAAAATGCCATCTATCATCTATTAGTTCTGTCAGTTTTTCAAACTACAGCATCATATACCAAATGCATCTGAGTAGAAAATATAATAAAAGTTGCTGGATGCAGAAAATATAGGATAAAATTAATACCAGTCTTCAGCACAATACTGTGGGTTCATTACACAGGCCATATAAAATTTCACCCTTTTTTTTACTCTCATTGAGAAAAGTTTGCTTTCTGACCCAAAATTAACCTAAACAAATAAAAGATGACTTATTAGATACAGAGGTTGTATGTGAACAAATGCAAACCCTCCAGATTTCCAACAGGCTTCTGTATAAGATACTACCCCCAGGTACCAAAGTGCCCATAGCATCTGGGATCTCTCTACATGTATCAGAAGGCTTCAAGTTCTGGTGATAAGACACACAGGGTATTCACGTCATTTGTACCTGTTATCAATTCTACATGAGGACTTCAATGAAAGATGCTTTTTGTGCTTAAAATACTGGAAATATGGAATGAACAAAACCTATCATACTTACACAAAGTGAGTTAAAATTGTGTCTCTCATCACTCCTGACAATATTAAGTGCTTCTTTGTAATATCATAGACAGGTAGCTCTACTCCCACAACAATAGCAGCCCGCTGAGCAGTTGGGACAACACCCTAAAAAACATAACTGAAATTAGATATCAAAGTAATATATAAATATTTAGACATAATAGTCTAATGTGAACAAAACAGACTGAGAGTTAAGTGACAGACAAATCTAGCTGAAGTACAAAGATTACTCTATCAAAGCAATGACTAATACTGGAACACAAATAAAATCACCAATATGACATCCAAAACACAAGCAGCAAAAGAAAATAGATAAGCTGGATTTCACAATTAAACATTTTTGTGATGCAAAGGAATCATCAACAAAGTGAAGACGGAGGGGGCTGAAGATGGTGGCATGAGTAAGGTGGCGGAAATCTCCTCCTAAAACCATATATATTTTTGAAAATACAACAAATACAACTATTCCTAAAAGAGAGACCAGAAAATACAGTACCACAGCCAGGCTATGTTTACATCTGAGAGAACTCAGCATTTCACGAAAAGGGTAAGATACAAAGCCATGACCTGGTGGGACCTGAGCACTCCCCCAACCCCAGCTCGCCAGCAGGAGGAAAAGAATCAGAATGGGGAGGGAGTGGAAGCACAGGACTAAATAACCAGCCCTAGTAATCTGCACCAGGAGCACAGACACACATCACATGGTGTACTAGATATTAGAGAAACAGAAAAGTAAAATCCGAGACGGAGACTGCAAGTGGGTCCCCACAGCTGGATCCTCTGGGACAAAAGAAAAGCGAGTGCTTTTTAAAAGTCTTAAAGGGACAAGGGATTAAAAGCTGGACAAAATCATCCCAGCACACTCAGCCTAGCAGGCTGGGAATCTTAAGGAACTTCAGGCGCCCTAACCCCCTGGGGGGTAACGCAGCCAAGAAGACCCTCACGGTGATAAGCAGCCAGCCATTCATTACCCCCAGCCAGTGCTAGAAGCAAATCAGCTGACCCACCACAGCTGCTGAGCAGCCAGAGAACAGAACTGCCCACAGCAACCAGAGTCTTCTCCCAGCACGCAGCAAAACGGGAAAGGCCCAGAGGCTGCTGCCAGTGTGCAACTGCTGGGTACAGACAGAAGAAGCCAGAGCAAGGTCCGGAAGGCATGAAGGGGCACCATTCTTGCAGGAGAACACAACTGGCACATGTGTAACCACCCGGCAGGACCCTAGGCTATCCCAAGGGAAGCCCCACTCAGGGCAGCTCAGAAGATTATACCAAAGACTGCACCCTGTGTGTGGGTAAATAGCACAGGCAACCAAGAATGGCAAGGGTGACCAGCAAGCAGGAACGGACTTTGTTCTCCTAGCTGACACATGCATCACTTGCCTGTGACCACTTCTATTGCCATGAAAAGGCAGAAGAATCTGGTCCAGTCAAAAAACACTCAAACAACCCCAGAGAGAGGGAGTGGTGAGATAGATATAACCAATCTTCCTGAAAAAGAATTCAAAATAAAAGTCATAACCATGTTGATGGACCAGCAGAGAAATATGCAAGAGCTAAGGGATGAAGCCAGGAGGGAGATAACAGAAATGAAACAATCAACAAAAGGTCTTAAGAGCAGACTGGACGAGGTGCAAGAGGCTGTTAATGGAATAGAAATCAGAGAACAGGAATACAGAGAAGCTGAGTCAGAGAGAGATAAAAGGATCTCCAGGAATGAAAGAATATTAACAGAACTGTGTAACCAACCCAAATGGAACAATATTCACATTATAGGAGTACCAGAAGAAGAAGAGAGAGAAAAATGGGTAGAAAGTGTCTTCAAAGAAATAATTGTGGAAAACATCCACAAACTGGGAAAGGAAATAGTCTCTCAGAACATGAAAGCCCACAGATCTCGCAACACAAGGGACCCAAGGAGGACAACACCAAGACATATAATAATTAAAATGGCAAAGATCAAAGACAAGGACAGAGTATTAAAGGCAGCCAGAGAGAGAAAAAAGATCATCTACAAAGGAAAACCCATCAGGCTATCATCAAACTTCTCAACAGAAACCTTACAAGCCAGAAGAGAATGGCATGATATATTTAATGCAAAGAAACAGAAGGGCTGTGAACCAAAAATACTGTACCCAGCATGACTATCATTTAAATATGAAGGATGGATTAAACAATTTCCAGACAAGCAAAAGTTGATGGAATTTGCCTCAAGCAAACCACCACTACAGGATATTTTAAAGGGACTGCTCTAGATAGAAGCACTCCTAAGGCTAAATAGATCTCACTAGAGAAAACAAAATCACAGCAAAGAAAGTAGACCAACCAAATACTAACTAAAGGCAAAAAATAAAATCAACAATCCACAAAAGCAGTCAAAGGAAACACAAAAGAGTACAGAATAAAACACCTAACATATAAAGAATGTAGGAGGAAGAATAAGAAGAGAGAGAAATAAAGAATCATCATACTATGTTTATAATAGCTTAATAAGAGAGTTAAGTTACACGCTTAGATAGTAAAGAAGGTACCTTGAACCTTTGGTAACCATGAATCCAAAGCCTGCAATGGCAATAAGTACATATCTATCAATAATCACCCTAAATGTAAATGGACTGAATGCACCAATCAAAAGACACACAGTAATAGAATGGATTAAAAAAGCAAGACCCATCTATATGCTGCTTACAAGAGACTCAACTCAAACCCAAAGACATATACAGACTAAAAATGAAGGGATGGAAAAAGATACTTCGTGCAAACAATAAGGAGAAAAAAGCAGGTGTTGCAGTACTTGTATCAGACAAAATAGACTTCAAAACAAAGAAAGCAACAACAGATACAGAAGGACATTACATAATGATAAAGGGGGCAGTCCAACAAGAAGATATAACCATTATAATTATCTATGCACCCAATACAGGAGCACCGACAGATGTGAAACAAATACTAACAGAATTAAAGGAGGAAATAGAAAGCAATGCATTCATTTTAGGAAACTTCAACACACCACTCACTCCAAAGGACAGATACACCAGACAGAAAATAAGTAAGGACACAGAGGCACTGAACAACACACTAGAACATATGGACCTAACAGACATCTACAGAACTCTACACCCAAAAGCAGCAGAATACACATTCTTCTCAAATGCACATGGAACATTTTCCAGAATAGACCACATACTAGGACACAAAAAGAGCTTCAGTAAATTTAAAAAGATTGAAATTCTAACAACCAACTTCTCAGATCATAAAGGTATAAAACTAGAAATAAACAGTACAAAGAAAGCAAAAAGGCTCACAAACACATGGAGGCTTAACAACATGCTCCTAAATAAATAATCAATGGATCAATGACCAAATTAGAACAGAGATCAAGCAATATATGGAGACAAAGGATAACAGCACAACGCCCCAACTTCACTAGGAAGCTGCGAAGGCAGTTCTAAGAGGAAAGTATATAGCAATCCAGGCCTATTTAAAAAAGGAAGAACAATCCCAAATGAATAGCCTATAAAGTCATAATTATTGAAAATGGAAAAAGAAGAACAAATGAGGCCCAAGGTCAGCAGAAGGAGTGACAAAATAAAGGTAAGAGAAGAAATAAATAAAATTGAGAAGAATTAAACAATAGAAAAAAATCAATGAAACCAAGAGCTGGTTCTTTTAGAAAATAAACAAAACAGATAAACCCCTAGCCAGACTTATTAAGAGAAAAAGAGAATCTACTCACATCAACAGAATCAGAAATGAGAAAGGAAAAACCATGATGGACCCCACAAAATACAAGAATTATTAAAGTATACTATGAAAATCTATATGGTAACAAGCTGGATAACCTAGAAGAAATGAACAACTTCCTAGAAAAATACGACCTTTCAAGACTGACCAAGGAAGAAACAGAATATGTAAACAGAACAATTACCAGCAATGAAATTGAATCACTAATCAAAAAACTACCCAAGAACAAAACCCCAGTCCAGACGGATTCTTCGCTGAGTTTTATCAGACATATAGAGAAGACATAACACCCATTCTTCTTAAAGTTTTCCGAAAAATAGAAGAGTACAGAATACTTCCAAACTCATTCTATGAAGCCAGCATAACTCTAATATCAAAACCAGGCAAAGACTCCACAAAAAAAGAAAATACAGACCAATATCACTGATGAACATGCATGCAAAAATACTCAACAAAATACTGACAAACCGAATTCAAAAATACATCAAAAGGATCATACACCATGAACAAGTGGGATTCATCACAGGGATGCAAGGATGGTAAAACATTAGAAAATCCATCAACATCATCCACCACATCAACAAAAAGGACAAAAACCACATGATAATCTCCACAGATGCTGAAAAAACATTTGACAAAATTCAACAGCCATTCACTATCAACAAAATGGGTATAGAGGGCAAGTACCTCAACATAATAAAGGCCATATATGACAAACCCACAGCCAACATCATACTTAACAGTGAGAACCTGAAAGCTTTTCCTCTAAGATCAGGAACAAGACAAGGATGCCCACTCTCCCCACTGTTATTCAACATAGTACTGGAGGTCCTAGCCACAGCAATCAGACAAAACAAAGAAATACAAACCATCCAGATTGGTAAAGACATCAAACTGTCACTATTTGCAGATGACATGATATTGTACATAAAAAACCCTAAAGGACTCTACTCCAAAACTACTAGAACTAATATCTGAATTCAGCAAAGTTGCAGGATACAAAATTAATACACAGAAATCTGTTGCTTTCCTATACACTAACGATGGACTAGCAGAAAGAGAAATCAGGAAAACAACTCTATTCACAATTGCATCAAAAATAATAAAATACCTAGGAATAAACCTAACCAAGGAAGTGAAAGACCTACACCCTGAAAACTATAAGACACTCTTAAGAGAAATTAAAGAGGACACTAACAAATGGAAACTCATTGCATGCTCTTGGCTAGGAAGAATCAATATTGTTAAAATGGCCATCCTGCCTAAAGCATTCTACAGATTCAATGCAATCCCTTTCAAAATACCAACAGCATTCTTCAACAAACTGGAACAAATAGTTGTAAAATTCATATGGAACAACAAAA